CTACATTGGACACATGATTGCTTGCGGATAGTAGGGCTTGTATGGTCGCATTGACATAGCAGGTGTTGCCTGAGTTTACCATGTGCCTCATGCGAGAGTACAGTACAGGCCTGGTGGGAGAGTTCCGCTGGTGGCGCTCGTTGTCGCCGTGGCGACCGGGGTAGATGCAGCGGAGGGAACAGACCGGTCCGCAGTCCCGGAAAAGCCACTGAGGGACATTGTCACCGCGGTCTTTGGTTGAGGTCTGGAACATTGTTCCCGCATCGTGTCCGTTCCCTGCACCTTGTGCCACCCAAGCAGGACTTGAAACAGAACTATGCACTGTTCTGGGTGCTTACGTTTGTCATAAACCGGCAGCTTGCAGAAGGGGCAGGGGTGCCCTTTGATCATCTGCACTGTATACGCCTGGCAGAGCTGGAGTGCCGCCGGACCGTCTCGCTGCCAGTCCTGTGCATGAGCCTGTCGTTGATGATTCTTCATCTTCGTATGGTCTGGGTCCAGAAACCGCACAGAATGCACCTGTGCTTGAGTTCTTGAGCTTCCGGCCGGGCAGCGATGATGCTAAGTTGATCTCTTCGCGAGCTTTGCACCGTGGCCCGAAGGGCCGCCAGGCTTCTGAGGGCTTGACCTTGCAGCTGTTCCTCAGTGGTGAGAGATAGCTGACGCAGTCGATCGGGTTGTGTACAGGCTCCCGATAACAGATGGTCACGCAAGCCCTTCCATTGATGGAAAGCCTTGTTGCATGCGGAACATACTGGTAATCCGTCTTTAGAGTGCCGACTTCGATCAAAGGAGGGAGGAATGTACCTCTGTACGTGTTCGCGATGCATCCTTGTAATGTGCATATGTAAGCCATGGGCAGAGGCGAAGCCAGATTCGCAGTGAGGGCAGGTGTGTAGCCGCTGCTGCGAGGCCTCGGTGCTCGCCGAAAGGTTTGCCACCTCTTGTAGCATGTCTTGTAAGTCCTGTATGACATGGCTTAGGCGCGTGACATCACCCTGCACAGCTGTTGCAGAAAGGTGTGGGCCTGTAGCCGAGTCCGACGCTGAGGAGCGCAGCCTGGCCCATGGGCCATGCTGCACCGTAGGTGCACTGGGAGTGCTCTCCGGCTGGGCGGAAGTGGCGGCCTCGGGGGTTGGGATGTCGGTTCGTTTGCACAGCCGTCTGAGTCTGGAAGCCATCCGAGCTTGGATTTTAGCTACCGGGTCCTGAATCGAATATAGCTGGTACAGGTCAGCTGTTGAGATGTGGCTTACGTGGACAGGCTGATTTAGCACGGATCGTAGCTTGTGCGCGTACCAACCTCTGAGATGCCTGGCTGTCTCCTCCGTGAGGCCGACTTCGGGGAGGCCCGTGACCAAGGTAGCCCATACAGTAGTGAACCAGACCTTCAGTCTGGCCATTGGCCCCGCGGTTCTGCGGTTGTAAACAAAACGCTTAACCTGCTGGAGCTTTTTGGCCGCTTCCGCTATACGGAATCGCAACGTCTGCATTTCAAAATTCCCATAGGAAATTTGAATGCCCAAGTACTTGAGTTGCGTCTCAAGCTTGTAGGCGGGGAAGGACTTGTGTTTGCCCAGTCTCCAGTGCCTCTGGAGTTTTCCGTCCTGGTCAGGGAGCCAGCAGGTGTGCTTCTGGAGCGTGGCCTCGGCCTCTCTGCCGCTGAGCTTGACGAGAATGGCACATTTGGTCGGGTTGACTCGCAGGCCTAGTTTCGCTACCTCCGACAAAAGCTCAAGGATCATCTTGTGAGCTGCGTCCACGTCCGCTTTGTTGCGGATGGTGCGATGCATGGTGAAGTCATCCGCGTACCCTGTGAAGTATTTGCGAACATTGTCCCAGCCAAATGTGCCTATCAGCCTGTGCAGGAGGCGGCCTGTGAGCACTGAAAACAACGTGGGGGCCAGCTTGCAGCCTTGTTTGATGCCCGTGGTAGTTTCCACATCCTTGTATGCCCCTTGAGAATGGAGCCTGTACTTGGATCGATGATGTAGGCCGTGTATCAGTTTTTGCAGAGGTGGATCCGCGCCTAGTTCATCTAGCAGAGACAAGATTTCGCTACGGGAGACAGTATCGAATGCCTGTGACAGGTCAAGTGCAAAGGTGATGCCTCCGACGAGACCGACAGGACATTGTCCCCGCTGCTGATCCGCTCTGGTGAGGTTCGCATTGCGACACAGCTGCCTAGCTTCCCTCAGGTGTTGTACCACTCTGCTCTGAGCATCAGAGAGGCCGCGCCCTGGGAGGTACGCAAACTGAGGAAGAGGCTTCATGTACGGCAGCGTGAGAGGTTCCAGGAGTTCCTTTGCCGTGCCCGCCAGTCCTTTAGCGTCCGGCCGGAGTATGCCCAGCGGCCTTAGCTGAGAAGGCTTGTCAGCCGGCTTGCCCGGTTTGGGGATCAAGCATAGATCCGCGCGAGTCAGATCATCGTCGAGTGACTGGTCTTGCGCCAGGCCTGAACAGTATTGTGAAAGCGCCTCTGATACCGGCTGAGCGCAGAGCTTCCAGGCTGCGGCCGGCGCTGCCCCTTTTGGAACTGCCTTGCCAGGTTTAATTGAAGCAATATGTTTTGCCAACTTGGTATGTGGCAGAGGAGGCAGAAGCCCCGAGTCTGAAGGAAGCGGTGGGTGTGCTGCAAATACCTGGGTGGCGTACTTTCCCAGCTCCGCAAGTTCATTTGCCGGGCTGAGCAGGAAGCCATTCGAATCCTTAAGCTGAGCCTTCAGAGCCGGTTTCCACGGTCTAAGGTGCTTGAGAGTTTGATAGGCCAGGTGTTGATCTCCCTGTTTGAGAGCCTGGTCCACCTCAGCAAGGAATCGCTTGGTTTGGTCTTTGCGTGACTGCTTAACCGCCAGTTTATGCTGGTCATGCAGCAACCGGCAGGCATCAGCGGCTGTAGCAGATTCAGCACCGGAATGAGCATTGCTCCCTCGCGCAGATCGCCACATTCTTCTGGCAATACGCGTCTCCGGACTATCTGGCATTGCCACCGGGGTCTTAGGGAAGAACCTAGATGTGGCTTCGCCAAGGAGGCGATCCCAAGACGCCGCCTGCATGTCCGGGGTTAGACGTGTTTTGACCCACGCGAGCATTTGCTGAGCTGGCAGCGTGTTGTCCCTAACAGCCGCTTGCAGGGCAGCGGCGTCGAACTGATGTGTCTGTATCTGAGGAGGCGGCAGATTCCAGTGCCTTACTGGCTTGACAGTCGCACTGATGGGCAGGTGCCCACTTTTCTTCCAGCTGCCCAGCGGAAAATCCGCCAGTGGTGTGGAGGCCTTGGCAGTGCCTCCGGCTGACACCTCTCTCGTAAGCACAAAATCTATTTGAGTGCGCGTGTCCCCTTGTTGAAACGTAAATGTCGGCTGAGGTCGCCACGTGTTGAGAGCCACCAAGCGGTGATTTAGCAAAAAGTTTGTTAGCTCTGGTTCATCGGGTCGCGGTTCCTGTGGACTGATGAGCCCGGGACCAACCAGCCTGGGCTGCTTTTGCAAGGAGCTGTTGAAATCACCTGCTATGATGAGCGTGTCTCTGTGGGGCACGCGTTGCACACATCTGCCAAGAGCCTTCAGGACCTGTGCCCTGTCCTGACGATTGGCCTGCACCTGCTTGGCCGGTGACCATACGTGTTGATACACGGCAATCAGGTGGATGCGGGCCCCGTGCCAGTCAAACCTGACTTCCAGGGCTCTGCCTATGACGTGCTCCTGCCAACGCACACCTTTGGGGAGAATGTGTGGGGACAGGAAGACCATAACCCCGTCCGCACGAGTCGTCGAGGGCTCCTTTCGGGGCGGATTGGGTTTGACGTCATTAGGCATTGCCTCTTCAGGTAGCTGTTTGTGGGCTTTGCCCCCGCGTTGCTTTCGTCTAGAGGCCTTCGGATCTGCAGCAGAGGCAGACGAAATGCAGTACCAGCCTGCAACACTAAATTCGGCCGTAGCCTGCCAGTGGGTCTCCTGCAGCACAAAGACATCACAGGTGTGACGTGCCTCAGTGGAGAGCCATGATTTGACTTCCGACCATTGTTGCTGGCCTAAATGGCCTGCATTCCAAGACAGTCCTCGGAGAGGCCTGGTGGCCTGTCCTGCTCTAGATCGGGGTGCAAAAGACTGTGTGGAACCTGGCCGCGGTGGGCAATTGCCCATGCGCCTTAGAAGAGCTGGGGTCAGAACCTGACCTCGGTAGGAAACGGGCTGCTGGTTTGCAACCACCTTGCGGCAAACATGCTTGAAAGAATTCTTCCTGATCTGAGAATAATTTTGTGAGTGCACTGGGAGCAGCGCCATCCGCTATTTCGTCACAAGGCAAGCCGAGTGACTCCCTCCACCACGCGGCTAGTGGAAACCCTACCGCCTGCCCAGTGGGCCCGTGTTGGGACAGGGTACTGGGTCCAGGAATTGGGACCTGGCGGCTCAGACGCAAACTGTTGGCACATGGCACATGGCTCAGCGGGAGGAAACCAACCCGTAGTCGTTCGGAGAGAAGCCTGTTTGAGACCTCTAGCAACGCAAGGTTGGAATCCAGAGCCTGTTCGACAGCCAGCGCGAACTTCCAAAACGTCTGAGCCGTGGCGGCTCCTACTACTACTACTACTACTACTACTACTACTACTACTACTACTACTACTACTACTACTACTACTACTACTACGACTACTACTGCTGCTACTACTACTACTACTACTACTATACTACTCCTACTACTACTACTACTACTACTACTACTACTACTACTACTACTACGACTACGACGGCTACGACTACGGCTACGACTACGACTACGACTACGACTACGACTACGACGACTACTACAACTACTACTACTACCACCACCACCACCACCACCACCACCACCACCTCTTCTACTTCTACTGCTACTTCTACTGCTATTGCTACTTCTACTTCTTTGACTTCTTCAACATGGTCCTGGAACTACCACCACTGCATCCCTGCCTGCTTCTACTACTCGACCCCTAGACACAAGAAACACAGGCAGTGGGCCCGGAGGTCATCCGCTGTGGCGGTCTCACGGTGGTCGTCGGGGCGGCTGGGTACATCGTAGGCGGCACCGGTACTGGTACCGGCGCCTGTGCCCCTGCTGGGGCGACGCGGTAGGACCTCGGAGCGAATAGAAGGATCTTAGTAAGGGCCCATTATACTGTAAGTAGATTAAGGAACCCCTAAAATACTCTGGGGATTTGATGTCTAAAAAGGAGGAGATTAGAGCAGGCTCAGGACCAAGGGCTTGAGGAGAGGATTCGAATTCGGACTGCCGGGTGTGTGACGCCATGCCTACGCTTCACAAACCCGTCAAGCCTGACCAAGACTTTTCCCAAACCCTCGTGCAATTGGAACTTAGTGACCATACCATCCCAAACGCTAAACCCAAACTCCTAAACCCTCCTGAATCGCAGACCCTAAATCTTTTCCCGGAGAGCCCAATACCCCTTAATGAAGGAATATACCTTAAACTATAAGGGGGTTCATATTATGATTTAAGCTGTATTCCTTAATTAAGGGGTATTGGGCTCTCTGGGTTCCAGCAGTGGAGTCCGCTAGGGCGCTGGCGATGCCGCATAGCCCGGCGGCGCCAGCTGGCCGGTGCCGCGAGGGGTTAAGTAGACCTGGTTTCCTGATCCTGCAGGGTTTAGGGTTTCGGCGCTCACACTCGGAAAAGGGTTTAGGGTTTAGGGTTGGAGAAGTCATGCGTTTCACCTGAGACCGGGTACAACCCTTATCCCTGAAAATTCTGGCTTTGGGGCACAAGGGAATTTCAGACATCAGGGGTGCTTGGAAAAAGTCCTCATATTATTTAGGCTTCTGTATTGAACCTTCTTGAGTTCCGCAACTCCCGTAACTCCCTAGGCTTTAAGGATCTGGTTGTAGGGTGTGGGGCTCTTGATTTTCGGGATCGCAAGGGCCAGTGTTTGGTGTTCAGGCTTCGGGGGTTCCCGTGTCAGGCTCCGGGATTTTTGGGTCGACGATCAGGATTTGAGGTTTACGCAAATAAGGGACCCTAATCTAGTAGCCTAAATCGTAGGATCCGTATTATAAGGACCCCAAAATAAGGTAGCCCTAATTTACGGAAACTCCCATTTGAGGTTTACGGTCCAAAGCGGCCGAAGCTGTAACCTCCAGTGCCGAGACTTAAGTTGAAGCTTGAAGGTTTGGGTTGGAAAACTCCAAACCCCCAAACCCCCAAACCCACAAACTTACCTTGGGTTAGTAGGGAATGGAGGAATGGGGTACAATTATAACCACTTCTACTACCATTCTTCCGTTCCCTACTAACCAAAGGTAAGCATACCCCCAAATCCAAACCCTAGACTAAGCCCTAAAACCCTTTCAGCACCGACTCAGCTAACCCTCAAACCCTAAACCCCTTACAGACCCTATGCCTAAACCCTAAACCCAAAACGCAGGGGCCGGGCTCCAGCACTCCGGCACATACTTACGAAGCGAGCGGAAATGCCGACTGCCAGATGAACGTCATTTTAAGGATTTTGGTGCACATTATACTAAACTATAATAAGGAACCCTTAAATAGTACAGGTAGTAATTTAAACCCCTATAGTATGCTAGGGGCTTAAGGTTTAAGGTTTTGGATGGGTTAGGGTTTTAAGGTATAGGGTTTAAGGATGAAGAGAGTTGAGGAGGCCTAGTACCCAAAGGAACCCGGCCGAAAGCTCGGAAGCCCCCGACAGAAAGGCTGTGAACTTGGTCACTTACCTAGGCGAACTCGATTTACCTCCAGATTACGGAAAATGACTCAAACTGAAGGGGTCTTCTACTGGCTTATCGCTATCCCGAGCAGCCCACCCTCAGGCAAAAGCCCCAAAACCAAACAACTGACGTCTTGCACTCTTGCAGAATCCTCCCTCCCCCAAAAGCCTGAATCTCAAACTGGAATCCTTCGATTCAAGGCCATGAACTCTGAGTCCTAAGCCCCGCACCATGAGCTCTAAAACCTAAACCTTCCCTAAACCCTGCAGAAAGGTGGCATCTGTATAACCAGCCACAATCAAACTTTGACCCCTTAAGCCGAACCCAACATCCTGAAACCCAAACCCAACTCCCAAACCCCAAGCCCCAAACCCTGAGCCCCAAAGCCTAAGCCCCTGGGCCCAGCAAGCAAGCTCCTTGTCTCTGCATCCCGGACCTGAGGCGGTCGGCAGGGCCAAGCTACACCCTCCATTCCCAAGTAGAACGTAAGCAAAAACAACAAGGTGTGTATGTGTATATATATATAGATATGATATGTCTATATATATATATATACATATGTATGTGAACCATACATGGGAGGTTCTTGTAAATACACCCATAAGCCAAAAGAACTGGTGCTTCATCACTTTGAGGCTCAGGGGGATGCTGGGTTGAGGGTTCTTCAGGGTTTGGGGTTTAAGGGCGTCGGAAGTCGTTGGGATCTTTGTTGGTATGGCATGGTCTTCTTTAAGAACATGAAACCTGGGAAAACCCCCCAAACCAACCAAAATGCTGAGAAAAGACAAAAAAAGAGTCACTCTCATTTTGGAGCCGATGGCCTTTTAGGGCTCAGGGCTTCTTTGCACGTTCAGTGCCTTGGAAGTTGCACGTTCAGGATTCCAGATTTGATCTTTTCGCGGTTTTGGGTGGAGGTCAAGATTTCAGGGTTCATGTGATCTCGTACACTCCTCCCCATGAAAACCACACTTGAGTTGAAAAGCAAAACATAGCTTCGATCATCTTCCTGCCGAAGCGACGGGCGTTGCGGATGCATGTCGAAGAACGCTTTGGGCGATGGCAAAAGGAAACGAGGCGAGATAGATGAAAGACCCTACACCCTAAACCCCAAGCCCTATAGGCCCGAGACCTTTTGGAACGCTGAACACCCGACCAAACCTCTGGCGACCTCTGGAGCTTGGGAAGCCTCGGAAGCCACAAACGAAGCCCATGGAACCGCTTGAACCTAAACCCCCCAAACAAACCCAAAACAGACCCTCAACCCTATGAACCCGTAGACTCCGCCCAGCTGTGAATTTTGGGAATCTCCTGAACATTTCTGACGCCGGTGGCGGGCTTTGAACCGACAGATCGGCGGAGAGCTCTGAATCTTTCGGGTTTACTGTAGGGTCTATAGGGTTTTGAGTTTGGGGTTTGGGGTTTAGGGTTTGGGGTTTAGGGCTTCGCTGAAGCCAGACGAAACGGAACTGAGTAACTACGGAGCAGGGCGTAGGGTAGTTATTCAGATCAGCGCTTAGGATTCCGGTTGTATGGTGGGGATAGGATGCTGCCTCCTGCCTATCTAAGTCCATGCCAGCAGTGAGTTTCGGCGTTTAGGGCTCGGAGAATTTACTTCGCGGTACGGGTGGTGGCTGTTTGGGCTGGACGGGCTTAGGGCTGATACTCTCACATCTCTGCAGGCGTGGGGGCTCGAGGTATCGGGAGGATTCCCGCATGCTACAGCATGGTCTGGTGTGCTCGGTTTTTGATTGTGGGCTCTATACTAAGATCATACTAAGCAATCCCAGGCAGAGCATGACCAGTTCTTGAGTCCCGTAGACGTTACGGAGGTGACTTTTCGCCCAGCTCTTCGATAAGTGCCTACAGCACTTGCAGACTATTTCCCTCGTCAACTCCACTTCCGGAGCAACCCTCGAGACCCTTCACATGAGGCCTTTGTAAGTAGAACCGGTTTTTGGTGGTATATCCTGTGCTTATGTAAATCATGCACATGCTCAAACCCGACACTTCTGAAGCCAAACATCCTATGCACGTTGCAGATCCTGAGCCCTTGCTCTGCTAGGGCCGAAATGCTCAGGTTTGAATGGGTCCGGGGTGTTTTGGAAATGGTGCTTTTGGGGTATAGGGCCTTAGGTTGCAGGCTTAGGACGTAAACCCGAAACACGCAAAACCAAAAAACTTTAAACCCTATCCTACAGAACCCTAAACCCTAACCCTAAAGAACCCTAAACCCCGAAAACCCTGCAACCCTAAAGCGCGGGAAGTGCCGATGTGACTGCCGGCGCTCTGGCTGCGTGGGGGCGGAACTTCCTCGCAGAGACCAACTTGAACGGTTCAGGGTTACGGGGTTTAGAGGGTTTAGGGGTTTCGGCGCTCATACTCGGACAATCCAGGCGAGGCATATGGTTCGAGGTCTGTTGAGTGACCCTACAAATACTCAGAGCTTCTCGAGTTGTAGACCACGCAATCCCAATCCGAGTCTTGGGCTTTAGGGGGTTTCGGGTTTAGGCCTTTAGGGGTTTAGTGTTTAGAGGTTTTGGGTTTAGGGTTTGACGTTTAGGGAGTAGGGTTTGGGGTCTTCAGGGTTTAGGCAGTTTAGGGGGTTTAGGGCTTTAGGGTTTATGGGCTTGGGGTTTAAGGCTTTAGGGTTTGGCGGTTTAGGGTTAAGGGGTTTGGGGGTTTTGGGATTCAGGGATTTTTCTTTATGCTCAGAGGCGACTCGTACAAAGCTGGCAAGGCTCCACAGAGTTTAGCGGTTTAAGTGAGCTCAGGGATTGTTGGCCTTAGGCCAAGGTCCAAAAAGATGCAACCGAATTGGAGGCTACAGCTAACCGCCAACCCCCAGACCGTGTAAATGCGCATGGAGCTGGAGCACGGCTTTCGGCGCTCACAATTCTCGCGCGCTCCAGGGCGGGGCATAGGTCGATAGTCGGCTTGGACTAGGCTTCTTTAACTGATGTCATCATGTCCGGGCTTTTCGACTGGCATCGTTGTGTGCTCGTCTTTGCGGAGCTCTGGCCAGGACTTCTCGTCGGAACATGGCTTCGGGGACCCCGAAACTGTGCAGATTCGTTCGACTGCTGACACTGTAAAATGCGTAGAAAACCGACCATGAAATCTCAACGGTTTTTTGGCCTTTCGTCGCTTCGGGGTGTGGCGACACGGCTAAAAATCTAACTTCTCCCTGGATTCGGAACCCTGGCTGGCCTGGTTGCAGGGGCTCGGTCCTGGCACGGGAAACTGACTTTGGGATGTTCATGCGGTTCTGGTGCCTCAGATTCGAGTGGCTACAATTTTGAATGCTCAAGCTCAAATTCATGGGGTTCTGGTGTCAGATTCGAGTGGCTACGATTTTACGTCACGGCCTTGCGTGTTCACCCGACTCTAAACCCCAAACTCTAAAAAGACTTTAAACCTTATGCCGGTTGCAATGCGCGCAGGGCCGCAGCGAGGGCCGCGGCGACGGCTTCGGCGAGGGCTTCGGCGATGCTGTGGGGGCCGACAAGCGCCGGAGCCGAGCCTCAAGGCACAAGGCAGCGGCATGTGTAAGGTTTTTTCCCTCTCCCTACACATGCATGTGTAGGGTTTAGGGTTGAGGGTTTAGGGATTTAAGGGTTTAGGGGTTTAGGGCTCTGGGGGTTGAGGGGTTTAGGGGTCTACGGGTTTCGGGGTCTGGGGTCTACGGGTTTAGGGGGTTTAGGTTGAGGGTCGAAGCAGTTCCGTCGTGGGCCTTGCTGGCGGCGACACTTGTCTCTACGGTCTAAAAGGATTCAAGCTTTCAGTTGCATTTCAATTTGCGGGTTCAGTGCTTTTGAGCACTCACCACAGGGATTTCTCTTCTCCTGCAGCTCTGAACTACTCTTTAGCCGGAGGACCCAGAACACAGCAGTCTACACCCGACACCCCTTTTGCATCCAGCCTGCAAAGCCTCTGCTGGGAAGTAAATGAGCGCCTAAAGCAAACCTTCAAGTCTGCCGTGCCACTCATCAGGTATGACTTCAAAGGATGCAGCAGTGGACAACTCAAGAAGTCCCTCCGCCACTCTCGAAACACCCTAAAACCCTAAAACCCTAAACCCCTAAACCCCTAAACCCTTTGCAGCAGGCCTCGTTGTCCAGCAGCCCGGTTACAGCAACAGCCCCCTTTCCCAGCTTCTTCAAAGCAAGGAGAGGAGACGAGCTGACTCTCTCGACGACAAGCCGTTCATGTTCACCCACTTCTGCAGGCGCATTACTAAGCTCCCTATCCCTGACAGGACTCACGAAAAGAAACTTGTACGAGAAAAGACCGATCTATACACCAGGTCCTTTGGGTTCTGAATTTTGCCTTGCAAGCCTACGTGCTGCCTTCTGTGCAAGTCGCTCATCATGATGTCGCCTTCTCAAGGTTTCGAAGTCAAACCCCTAAACCCTAAACCCTAAACCCTTACTGCCCTAACCCAAAAGATTGATCACAAATCTGGGAACTCTCAAATGTTAAGACCCGCACCCGAAACCCAGGAGCCTTCTTCCCCCACTACTACAGGGGCCTCAATGAATAGAATAGGATTTTGGGGTGCCCTTTATACTGTAAGATACTGTAAGTATCATGAGGGAACCCCACAAAAATGATATTTTGTAATTATTCAGGCCGCTGTAGTTTATGCTTCAACCTCCCCAAGATCCCCCACTAAAGCCGGGAACCGAAAATCCTGAACACCGCGCCCCAAAACCTGAACTCTAAAACGTAAAGACCTTACAACCCTACGCCGTAACCCTCGGTCTCTACACCGCAAAGCCTGCAGACTGTAAAACCTAAGCTCTACAAACCTCTAGAAGCCGTCAAGCCCAAAACCCTAAACCCTAACTTACACATAAACAAGCAAACATGCGCACACACACACACACCAAAAAAAAAAAACAACAAAACAAAAAAAAAATAAGCAAAGGAAAATGCGACCGAGAGATCTGGGCCGCCGCACGGGGTTTGGAGGCCTGGGATCGAAAATCCCATACATGCGAACCAATTTGAGGGTTTGGGGGGTTTATTTTTTTTTTAGACGGCCCTTATAGGGTTTAGGGAATACCCAATAACTAAATTTCCATACCCTCCAACTAAAGTGAGGAAGTATGCCCAAGGGTTTACGCTCTCGCCACTCGGATGCCAGACGAGGTTCTTGTGCCCACCCTCAGGGAATACCCAATATCTAAATTTGAGGAAGCATGCCCGACATCATACTGGAAACAACGCATCTGGAGCATCGGGTATACGATAAGAAAAGTGCATAGTGGCTCGCTGTATGGCGTCAAGTTAAGATGCGCGAAATGCAAGTCGTGGTTGAACTGCGGTATTAAGCTCTGTAGATGCTTGCAAAGTTCGGGGTGTGAATTCTGGGTTTCGGGCTCTAGGGCAAGGCTTTAGGATTCAGGGCTGTCGTCTTTGGGTTGTGAGTTCTGCGGTTAGGATTTAGGCTGCGTTAAGAGGGCAGTTCTTCCGTGGCTAGAAGTACACGAACTTCTGAAACCTTGAACCTTGAAGTTTCACCTTCTGAGAGAATATCCACGGAAATGTAGCCTGAAGCCGGGTAGGTGTCTGTGGCTTCCGGCTCAGCCACAAGGTCAGCAGCTCCAGTCACGGAGGGGGCCTTTTGCAGACTTTTTGGATTTGGGGGGGGGGGGGGGGGGGCTCGTGAAATCCAGAAAAACCTAAACTCTGTGAATAGGGTTTATAAGATCTATACTATAAGTCAAAAAGGTTTTCGGCACTCAAAACTGCCTAAACCCTAAACTCTAAACCCTAAACCCGGGACAAGCCATAAGGGTTTAGGGTCTGGGGCTTCTTAGGGTTTTTGTATCTCTCTGCAGGCTTGCGAAGCCAAACCAACAAGTCTCAAATAGAAAAAGCATTGAAACCCTGGGTGTTCTCCGGAGAGTCTCCAACCAAAAACCGTATTTGGGCTTCGGATTTGAGGATGTGACCTTTCCTTTCGAACTTGGAGAACTTTAGCAGCACCTGTTCTGCTCCTAAGTGGTCCGGAGCAAGGCCCCGCCTACTGTTGCTCCTGCCTGCTCCCCTTCTACTACGACAGCGGCGATGACGATACCTTCGACATCCTACAATCACTACTGCTGGTGCTGCTGCTGCCATCGTGTCTGGGGCTACTCCTGAGGCGCGCCAACGACAACGACTGCCACACTACTCTTCTCAAAACTCTTGTTCTCACACCCTACTGTTCCCAGCCCCACGACAAAGGCTTCCGAAAGAGCCATTGGGATGCGATGTAAGCAATCTAAGCATTACCGGCTCCAAGACATTCCACCACTTATTATACGGCTGTGTAGGTTTTTATGGGATGGCTGTGGCAACCGGTGCTTGAGGCTTCGGCTTGAAATCCTTTGGACTTAAACTTCCAGGGACCACGCTGCCAACTCAGCGGCCCCAAACAAAGCTGAAGCAGCTGCTGCTACGAATTCATGCAGATGCGGACAACCGCTCTTATCCTCTAAGCGTCTGATTCCCACAGCCTAAACCCAACTCCAAACAAAGCCCGCGAACCCCGAAACTGCGAAATGCCCAACCGATGCCGCCCTGAGGCTCTGAAACCCCAAAGCCATAAACTTCCAAAGCCTAAAACACTCCTGAACACCTCCAAGGGGCGCAACAACCCAGCACAGAAGCCTGCAATCAAAACTCTACTTTAAAACTCGTTCCCCCTCAAACCTCAAGACTCTGCTTTAAAATTCGTTCCCCCTCAAACCTCAAGGGCCTGAGCAACTGCGGGCTGTGCCGGCTGATGCTGCGACACGACGGGGTGGGGCTCAAGCCTCGCTCTCCACTGCCAACTTCGGGCTGGTAGTCTCCAAAAAAACCCTAAGACCCTAAACCCCTAAACCCCTAAAACCCTAAAACCCTAAACCCTAAACCCCTAAACCCTAAAACCCTAATCCTTCGACCCCCTAGCTCGAATCGGAACCCTAAGCCTGACTATTTGGGAATTTGGGTGTTGGGTGGCTTGTGTAGTTCAGGGTTTTGGGGTTGGGCTTCTAATCATTGGAGTACTGGCTCGACGTGATGTGCTGCGAAAGGGTTTTGCCAAGGATTTGCTGTCGGCATCGGGAATGAAGATTTTATGCGGGATTGGCTTTTCATGGCTTTTCGTGTTTATGCATTCGACTTTCTAGTTTCGGCAGGTATGGAACCTTATAACTTATAAACACTAGCAAGCACAACCGCGATCTATACAGCGCAAGAATCGATTCGAAAGCCCGTCACGTCTCAAGCATGGACGGAGATATCACCCAGCATGAACCCTAAACCCTGCGAAGCCTAAACCCTAGAACCCGAAAGCCTAAACTACAACATCTACAAATCTACAAACCAGAAATCGCCCGCAAAGCATCCCCGCGGGTTATCCAAGATCGTGCTACAACGCTATTAATGAATTAAGCTTCTAGATGAATCTCTTGTGTCCTCACAGTAGAAGGAATGAAGAAATGTCAGTCAAACCCTAAGAACCCGCTCTGGTCTCCGGGCTGATTGCCAAAGATCTCCGCGGTGGTGGGCGACTGGCGATGCTGGGAGAACCAGCCCCTTCGGTCTCGCGCCTGGGGTGCAGGGTTTGGTGCTCTCAACCGTTTTGTTCTAGGATTTGGGGAAATGGGAAGTTCCGAAAAAGAGGGGACCTAAAATACGACCCTAAATTCCCTGAATAGTAGGATCCTTATTATAAGGACCCCAAGATAATGTACCCCTACTTTTCGGAAACTCCCGGATAGGCTTTAAATTATGGCTTTGGAGCTTCAGAAGTCAGACGCTTAGGGCTTCGAGCTCTTATCAACGGAAGTTTTCAGACCTCGAACCTGAACCCTACACCCTAAACCACTGTCCTCTCCCCTTGTGCCGCAGAACTCGGAGCCCTGAACCGGGAAAATTGGAAGCCCCGCAGCCCGAGGGGTTTAAGAGGTTTAGGGTTTCGACTCGTGCACTCGCACGATGCAGGCGCGGATTCCAGCTCAGACAGACAGACGTGAAACAGCACAGCTCGCATCAACCACCGACAAACAACAACCTAACCAACCAATTGCTCAGGCTTAGGGTCTGTGGCTTGTTTGAGGTTATACGGTTCAAAGGGCATCACAAGGGAAGATTCTACACAGGCTCTCCGAGCCTGGGGCTGTGACTGGGTGGAAAAACTGCCAATTCAGATGACGTGTTTGACTCACTTGCTGATGAGGGTTTGTGGTGAACATGCAGTCACTGTGCTGGAGCTTTAACGGTTCCAGAAGTTGCGAGCACACTAACTCGGCTTAGAAGTTTAAAGGCGGAAAGTGGGTCGGGTAACGGCTGATTCTGCGAAGCGGGCGTGGGAGTTAGCGCATAGTCACGGCCTCGGGGTTTCAGCCTCCACGACATACAAAGAGGGTTTAGGGTTTTACCGGGGCCTTCTTGTGAACGATTTGATATTTTACTGCAGGAAGCTGATTCAGCATTGTTCCTGCTCTGCATAATCCCATGCTGGAATAAATCGATGCGACAGTGTCCAGTGTCTCAATCTGGTTCCAACATCTTCTTCCCTGGAACCTTATGCGGCTTTGCGGAGGGGTCACGGTAAATAGCCCTCGCACTTGCTTTCTCACAGTCACAGGCCAAGCCAGTCCTCATCAAAATGGCCCGGGGCAGCGAAGGAGAAGGCATGTGACTGAATAGGCCAGGATTCTGCGTGCAGCCTCATCTGCATAACCAACAGAGATGGCATGGAGACGTGGCCACGGATGAGCCCGTCACCAAAGGCTATAAAGAAGTCGGCGGCAGCGGCCAGGGCCATCTCCACACAAAGCTGCCGCAGGCTGTTGCTGTCCCCCAGAAGCGGCGGCGCCAGCACCAGCTCTGCCGTACCCGCGAGCTCGCGACTCAGATCTTTGACGGCCTGGCTGGTGGCCGGAGCATTCGTCATAAGGAAGAGCCTCCTTAGGCCGAGCCGTTGGAGGTGCTCTTTCAACATCGATGCAAACTTAGGCACCTCGGCGAGTTCAGCCTGCTCTAGCTTCCGTGGGTGCGGCCCTAGGAACCAGTCTCCCTTCCGCCAATGAGCTGCCATGTAAGGACTGCGCCCCAAAGCTTCAAAACCACTCCTCCCAATTCGGAGCTTCAGCTTCCTGGCCACCTCTGCAGCCCTCCGATAGACCCAGGAAGAGAACCGAAGCCCACGCCAAATCGAAGTGTAAAAGGAGTGGACAGATAGGTAGCCATACCGACCGGGATGGAGACGTGCCCTCTCCGCGCCTTCGACCCAGTAGAGGTAGAGTCCAATAGAAGCCCAGGCTTTTCCCGATGCCTTCGCCTGCGAGACCGTGGCTTGCACAGTTTCTGCCAACCGGCCTTCGTCCAACAGACGAAGCTCAAAGCCATCGCTGTGCTGCATGTTGCGCACACAGACGCGGCGCTGGATGTTCAAGTTGGACTCGTAGAAACGCAACACCTCTGGCTGGTCGGAGTCCCCACAACGCACTCTTTGGCCACCTTCGTTGGGGTGATCAGCTTGCATGGCCAGCACATCCAAGGTGCCACCAGTACGTCGAAGGAACTCCTCCCAGGAAACCTGGCCCCGAATGCCACGGACCTCCTGAAACCAGGAGCTGAGACCCGGCCAATCGAAGAGCGCTCCGAAAGCCGTGACGCTGCCGTGTCGCAGCCCGCACGCAGTCTTCGGATTCCAGTTCGAGTAGATGGACCAGTCCTGGGTTCTTGTGTTGGGGGTTTTAGTTTAAGCTACCATAACAGGAATCTATAGTAACTTAAGTCCTGGGTTCTTGTTTTGGAACTTAGTTTAAGATACCATAATCGAGGATCTATAGTAACTTAAATACGGTTTCCTTATTATAGCAACTTAACCATTGTTTCCTTATTAATTATAGTAGACTAAATACTGTTTCCTTATTATGGTTGACTACAAGGTTTCCTTATTATAGTTAACTATAAGGCTTCCTTATTATAGTCAACTAAGTCTTGCTTCCTTATTTCAGTTAACTACATGGTTTCCTTATTATACTTAACTCACACATGGTTTCCTTCTTATGGTGACTTAAATATGGTTTCCTTAGTATAATAACTCAAAATGGTTTCCTTGTTATAGTTAACTTACATAACATATGGTTTCCTTCTTATGGTTAACTTAGATACGGTTTCCTTCTTTTAGTTAACTTAACTATTGTTTCCTTATTACAATAACTTGAATATGGTTTCCTTGTTCTAGTTAACTTAAGTAAAACCCTTAAAAAAGCCCAGATTCGCGACCTTCGGCCAAAGCTTTGGCGCGCAGCTCCGCGGCCTCCAGCTCCCCGTAGCGCTGCCAAACCTAGTTCGTGGTTGGGATAGGATTAGGGTTTGGGGTTTAGGGTTTAGGGTTGGGATAGGATTAGGATTTAGGGTTTAGGGTTCATGGTTGGGATAGGACCAAACATGTACATTTTTATTCCTTATTGGGTTTAAGTACCCACAAAAATGAAATATGTTACCCAACTGTGACAAAGAAACGGCGTTGCAGATGAAAGGCTCAACCAAGACTACCTGGGAGCTTCCGAAGTTTAGGGGCACCTTTAAAGGCATCTATAAGGGTTCGATAAAGGGTTGAGGGTTTGGAGTTTCCGAAAATTCGGCAAAATTCGGGTTACCTTATTTTGGGGTCCTTTTGATAAGGATCCTACTACTTCGGGTGCTACATTGGGGTCCCCTGTTTTCGTGAACCCCCACCTGAGGTCCCTGGAAGGATGCGAGCTGCAAGGCTTCCAGCGCATCCATGAAGATGTTGCTAAACAGCTCGCGACAAGGGCCCAGCACGTCCAACACAGAGATGTACACTGTGAAGTCGGAGGCTGTTGGTCTCACTTGATGGCACGCGTAGCACGGCGGTATGCCCAATGCTGTCTGGGCGGACGGGGCGTGGTCATGGCTGAACCCTCTGCCAGGCAAAAAAAGACCGTTAAAGAGAGCCACGAAGCTCTGTCCCACCTCAGCACCCCCGGCGGATTGAAAGTGCGCAGCCGGGAGCAGCCAGACGTCTTGGCTCCAGTCCTTCCACCAGGACTTCGGCGCACACAGGTTCGGCAAGGAGGGCGTGCACCGCCGTACGCCCTCTGGGGGTGATGTTCGTGACCATGATTTGGCTTGACCGTTTTCGGAAAAGAGGTAGTAAATCTCGAAAAGCTTGTCGTGAACCTCGGTCAGGTTCCAGCTCGAAGACATTGCTGGAACGCTCAGCACCAGATTCTTCCAGTCGCTTTCATCCATCTGTCGGTTCAGCGCTTTGAGGGCGCGGCCTCCAGATCCCAAGGCACCCTGTCCTCCCTGCAGTGTCTTCTCCATCAGGGAGACGGCTGCGACGTGTGGACCACCAAGCTTTCCTGCAAGCATCGCTGCCGCCTGATGCAGCGTGAACCACCAGGTTTCGGGCCGGAACGGCAGTGCATGCCAAGAGCTGTGCACGAGGAGCACGACACCGGGCTTGTCCCCGCAAGCATTCACCTCATCCCCACAGAGTTGGGTGCAACGGAAGCGTTGTCGGAGCCAGGCCAAGTACCAGCCCTCTGGAGCTGCATCACTGGACCACTCACCTCCGCAGCCGCCCTGCAATCGCACGGCCAGCGAGATTTCCGAGGAGCCTGCGAGAACACCTACAGAGGCCAGCGACTCCACGGAATTCCGCAGAAGCGACAGGGGCGTGCCGGCCGGGTGGACGACCTCAACGCAAAGCCTCGGTGCGAGTGCAAAGAAGCGCCGCTTCTCCTCGTCCTGGGCACCTCGGCTGGAGGTGTTCAGGCCATCGAAGGATAACCAGAAGCTGGAAGCTTCGCGAGGCGCCGCCGGAGTCTCTGCCGGCATGTTCAGTACCTGGTAAGAACATAGTCTACTTTGCAGGACCCTGGAAATTCCATGTGAGAGTTTATAGTAAGAACCTAAAAAAGGAGGCTATGGTAGCGTAAGGTAGCACCAATCCTTACACCGCGCCGCTTGATGACAAGGATACACCTTTTCCTACTGTTCGGTTTTAAGCACGGAACCCAAAAAAGCCGGGTTACTCGCAGCAGCGCCCGCTGCGACTGAAACCCCAGGAAGCTCAGCAGTCGCAGCGGCCGCGCCCCAGCGAAGGAGAGCTCAGAGAGCTCCAGGGAAGGCGAAAGGTCGAAGAAGAGCTTCGCCTGGGCTCTTCTTAGGAGGCGTAGTTTTAAGCTACCATATTAGAGATCTATGGAAGATTAAACATGAAGATGAGCCTACCGCAAACAAAATATGAACAGGGATCTATAGTAAATAATTAGAACTTATGGTCTCTTATTGTAGCAAGAGCCCAGTTGCGGCAAACTTCCCACTGCCATAGATTTGCACTGGATCTGTACTCGACTCCATCTGCCCAAAGAAGATCACGCAAGCATATGCCAAGGCAAACCCGGCAGGACAAAGAAGCTTCACACGTGCTAAGTCCGCGCTGTCCCGATAGCAAATCTCATCCGCGATCGGAAGAAGAAACCTGTATGGGGGCAGTGGCAAGGTGCGGCCACAATCGGAGCTGAGGGCACATGCCAAGACCTCGGACACTTTGCTGCGCAAATCATTCCAGGGAAGCGTCGTTGAGTCGTAGTCTGGACACAACTCAGACTCCAATCCCATGGGAATCTGGGAAGCACTGCAGGCTTTGCGTTAATGAATGCATCCGAAAGATCTGAAACGGCGATACAGAACGAAAAGCTGCCGTGAGTCCTCCATGAAGCCAAAACCTCAATTTATCCGAAACATCGCGCACAAGAATTAATGTTGCAACTTCCCCTACCTCGGCAGCAGAGGGCCCTCACAGCCACCGAAAACCGAAACCCTTGTTGCATCCGCGCTTGGGAAAAACCCGGAGCCCTGAACCCCAAACCCGGAACCCTAAAACCTATATAAACCCACCTAAACCCTAAACCCCTAAACCCTTAACCCTGCACCCTAAACCCTAAACCCTAAAACATGGATCGGCCCGCCTTCAGCTTCACCCGGCCGGGCCCCAGCACGTGCTGATACTTGTAAAGCTCCCTGTGCCGATTTAGGATTCGCGGTCTAAGCATTGCGGCTACAGTAAACTAGAATAACCTACTTCTTGTGCAGGTTCTTGTAAAAAAGAACCCAACGTAGAAAGACTCAAGTAGGCTTTGGTGGCTTGAGGTTGGGTTTAGGGCTATATAAGGCATTGTAGTTTTTCGGCCACAGGGCGACAAAGCTTTGGAGGGCTTTAGTGTTCGGGCTTTTTGCGTTCAAGGCTTTAGGGTTGGGGGTTTTGTAACCCTAAACCCTAAACCCAGCAAGCCTTTCGCTTTAAAGTTTGGACTGGCCAGGGCTGATGGATGCCCTGTTTCGATGACAAAAAGAACGGCTCCCAAATCAGTTTTCGGTGGGACGATGAAGTTGTAGGGGGCGTAAGATTTAGGGTTTAGTTTAGGTGCCGGAAATCGTTATATTGTATATTGCCTGCCCTAGAAGATTGGGAAATGCTTGGCGTACATGCTTTGAAACCGCGAACAGACATGGAGGGTTTAGAAAGAAAGGAACACCTCGTACCTGCAACTAGCAATAGGACTAGTAGGACAAAGCCCCCAAGTTGCGACCCCAAAAGTTGACAAAAAACCTCCTACACTCCAACGTACCTCCCTCGCACGATCAGCACCCCCGGGCCTCTCGATCTCGTTCAAGTCCTGATGAAACACCGGATTTCCATGGGCCGAGATAGTTAGAATTTGGTTTTGGGGCCCATTATACTACAATTGTAATGAGGAGCCCCCAAAATAGTATTGATCCTCATCCTAGTCTTCTGCAAGACCTTCAAGTCTTCTGAACTCTAGATCGTTTCGAAGCAGGGCAGGCTTTGGGGTTGAGAGTGTAGGGCGAGGAGGGCACTCTGACACTTCTTGCGGTCTAGCTGGATTTACTTGTTATTATCGGGGTCCCATGCAATGTAAAAGGCACTGCCCGCATGCCAGATGGTTTGTAAATCAACCCCAAAAGAGCTCAAGACCCTCGGACGTCATTCTTTTCAAGCACTGCCTGCGAAAAGCCCTTGCAGCTCTTCCTGGCCGCAAGTATCATACCTCAACTTTCGCGTGCCCTCACTGGACACCACGTGGTAACCTCGGTGTGAGGAACTGTCCGAGTTGAGGGTTTAGGAAGTTTAGAGATGATGGTGGTTGTGGTGGTGGTGGTGGGAGAAGGGGAAGCGACAATGAGATTAGGTCGTCGTCGTGGTGGTGGTGGTGGTGGTAGTGGTGGTGGTGGTGGTGGTGATTGTGATGACGCCTGGCGAGGCTGGTGACGATGTAGTCCAAGTGATGATGGTGTGGTGGATGCAGTGATGATGGAGATAATATTTACGACGGTACTGAGGTGCAGGTGCAGAAGACGAAGTTCATAATACGTCATGTTGATGTTAAGAAGATTATGGTTAACTATGATGAAGGTGATGGACATGATAATGGCGATGGTGATGGTGATAATGGCGATAAGGGTGATGATGATGATGATGACGATCGTGATGGTGGTGATGATGGTGATGCTGGTGATGGGGGTGATGATGGTGATGATGGTGATGACGGTGCCGATGATGTTGATGATGGTGACGGAGGTGATGGCGGTAATGACGATGACGATGATGAGGTGGATGAGAACGAGGATGAGGATGCTGATGCTGATGCTGATAGTTTCTGCAACCCACCTGGCATGATGGTGGTGGTGGTGATGATGACAATGATGATGGTGGCGGTGGTGGTTGCCGCGAGGACAGGGCGCACGCAATCTGTTTAGTTCATCGGGATTTCACCTACATTGGTCGAACATAATCCAACACGGGCACACACATGGTGCATAAGACAAAACTTTCACGACCGCGACAACTGCGTTTGACGTCCTGTCTCCCTTCCAACCGTGATTCCCTGGGAACAAATTCGTGCGCTATGCGATGTGAACCTACTTCAAGGCCTTCAAGATGGTTCTAAAAGAACTGGAAGACAAGTTCGTGGATCCCAACTGCGGCCCAACGGCAGCCTTCGGGGAGCTTGGCCTTCACCCAAGATCCATCAGAGCACTGCCGCCCCACAAAGTCATCGCCACCCTCGCCGTAGAGCGCGAAGTCGTAGCTCCGTCCGTCGGCCAGTACGCCACGAAGCTGCAGCTGACCCGAGGTGGGTGCGCTCACCTCCACCGCCGCAACTGCGGAGCCACGCTTGTCCGGGGCCGCACCATCGCTGTAGGTCGTGTCGCAGTGGACCACGGCCACATGGGCCCCCCGAACCACGAAAGGCGAGTCACCACAAGGCTTGTGCCCACAGAACACCGTCCGCACGCCTCCCTCGACCAGGAAGGCCTCGACATCCTTGTCCAAATTGTCCGGCGTTCCCCCTTGCAGCAAGGACCTCGAGAATACTATTTTTTGGCTGAGCATCTCCGAGCACACACGTTTCGACGCCGAACAAGGAGGTGGGGGTATATCTTTTTACTATGCTTACAAAAAAGAACCCCCAAAAATAGTAGAGGTAGTTATTGAAGCCCCTGTAATAGCTATTGTCGGGTGGCTCCACCACCACCGAGCGCCGAAAGCAAGCGGGCGTGCTGGTGAGGCACAGAAGGCCTTCACCCCCTCGAGTGCGCCCTGGCCCCCAGTACATCTTCGCCCGGAAGTCCCGCAACCCCTCCTGCATGAAGTCATTCCTTGGCAGTTCCTTATTATGATTGTAGCATACTGGGCCCCAAAACCCTTTTCTAGTCACTCCTGGGTGCCCATGAATGATGAAGCTATTCAGCTATTCATGAGGCATGTCGCTCAAACCACTGACCTTCTTATTCTCCTGAGCGGGCAAAACCCACAAAACCTCCATGAGCAGCCACGGCTCATTGCTTTCATCCAATCTTGCAGCGTGCCTTCCATGCGCTTACCCCCACAAACTGCCCCTTCGGCAGGCTGCAAGTAGCGCATGTCCATGGTTGGGACCCAATTGATGGCTTCCTTAGGAAGGCCACCATGTACAAACAGGCAATCCCCTATCATCACCAGCAAGCAGCTGTGAAGAAGATACTCCCACACGAAGCCGTCCTCCTTCGAAACCGATGTCAGAAAGCTTTCGACAACATCCTCATCACTAATCTCACTGGTCTCTTGGCCGGAGAGCAGTGCTAGCTCCTTCTTTCGTAGCTCAAAGGCACCAGTAGCAGTCATAGTATGGTCCAAAATCCACCGAAGCCGGTTTGCCCGGGTGTTTATATCCTCCACAGTCTTGCCGCCTGAGCTCTCCAGTCGCTTCTCCAAGAAGCTCCGCAGGGACACCTGGGGCGGCGCCCTCGGGTAGAGGGGCACGGGCTGGGGCACGTCGATCTCATCCTCGGCCAGCTCTGCCGGGAAGCGCAGCTTGTTCAGGTCACGGTTCCCGGCCAAGAGCCACACACGATCCGGATGGTGCTTCTTGAAGCAGAGGAGCTGCCTTGCGATGCGCAGGTCCCCGTCGCCCTTGTCGAAAACGTCGCCACCGAAGACGAAGGAATCCGAGGCCCCTTTCCTCTTGAAGGAAAGCTGTCCCTCGGAATCAAACTCAACGACCTCGCTCAACGACACACATCGACTCCAATAGCCATAGTCGCCCTCGCAGTCTGTGATGAACCCAATCATGGGCGATTCTTGTCAGATCTTGTCGGATTTCTACACGTCTTGTTATGTTTGAGCATGGACCCTGCACGGAACTCGCGGAGACGGTGCACCAGCAAAGCGACAGAAGAACTATGAAAAAGAGTCATGGTCGGTATCACATGACAGGTGGTGATTCAAGGCATAATACAGATATTAATTCTTGCATCTTCTTGTCCATGCTGCCCTGCTACTTGGAAACCAACCTCAGCTTGGAACAGCAACAACTCAATGTGACAGTCCTGCTGGTAGCCCACGATGCGGTCGTGAAATGTTCCTCGTCGCTGCAGGATTGTAAACAAATTCGACATGGCAGCCGTGCAGCGTGCGGAAACAACCCTATTGCTCTCATCATCCGAAGCTGTGAAGCAGCCGGTTGCAACCTTAAACTGCGAAGGCTATCCAAACACCCGCTGAAGCTTGAAAAACTCAAAAGTGTTCAGGCCTGTTGTCCGTCAGTTCCGGGGTCGTTCGGGGTTAAGGGTGTCGGGCTTTTACAATCCAGTATCATCCAATACATCGGAAGCCTTACGTGCTCATTTTGCACTAAGGCACCTCATGGCAAAGCCCGGCATATACTGACAAAAACTCTCAACTCGCGAACAAACCAGTGTTTGGCAACACAAGCACGAACCTCAGAAATCGTTAGGTGCTTTGTCGTTTTGCATGCGCATTTTTGCGACTGCAGGACGTGGATCCGAAATCGTTAGAAATCAACCGGACATTCCTAGGTTCTGGAGCGTTGCAACACTTCACCAAACTTGCACTTCTCCACTGCAGAAACGGACCAATCAGCGCTGACGACACTCTGTAACTTCGACACTCCAGGGGACGAAGCATTGGACAAGAAAAACCATGACAGCCACGGGCAAGCTTCAGAATCAAAGAAACCACAATCCTCAATGCGATCACCTCCACGATTTTTGCAACATGCCGGCTCCTGAGCCAGCCCAACCACCATCATCCAAGTATGCAAGGAGGCGACGATCCTCGGACAACATGTTGCCTGTGTAATCATGATGCCTTCGCTTAAGCAAGGCAAGCGCGACATGCCGAAGAAGTGAATACTAGGACCCGTGCAAACAAAGCCATCTTGGGAACAACGGCTGGCCATTGCTTGGACAACACGACCACACGTTTTGCAACTGGTCTTATCAAAAGCGCTTCTCCGTGCAGACACACACACCTAAAAAATCCTGATGTTTGGCACAGCTCACACATGGACCTAGTACATGGTCATTTGGCGCGAATATGGACTACTCTGACATTCAAAAAACTCTAACCTGAGGCATGTCCCTTTCAGCAAATCGTTGGAGCAAACACAGACGTGACAAAATGTGGCGTGCCAACCTTTCTACTGTGCTGCCATGTAAGCCCATGCACAACCCCAAACCCTGTGTAGTGTTTCGAGTTTCATTTGAAACCCAACGATGCGCCGTCAACAACGTCGAAACCTTGTCGTTGTGCGACACCGAAGAAGCCTGCACGTGCAGGCCGAAAAATTCTATGCGATTTTACCCATGCCTGGCGCGCAAGCACTGCCTGCTGCAAGACATCCCGCGCGACACGCACCCGCCTGTGCCCAGCTGCCTGCCGGCGCGCTGAGCCGCTGCAGCTCGCAGCAACACGGTAGTTCGCAAGTGCACTGGCGCAAACGCGAACTATGGTCGACTTGCTGTCGGCACAGACGGCACCGTGTTCTGCCAGCCAAGGTCTTGATATTTCCCCAAACAGGTACGGTTTGGGGTTCTCTCCTCAGAAAAAGGTGGGCCGCGGTGGGTTGGATGGCTGGGCCGCGGCAAACTGGCTGGGCTCCCATTGGGCTCCCTTCATGTTTCCTTTCTGGGCTCCTGGGTTGACCTGGGCTCCCATTCACTTCCCTTCATGTTTCCTTTCTGGGCTCCTGGGTTGGACGGGTGGGCCGCGGCGAATGACCTGGGCTCCCATTCACTTCCCTTCATGTTTCCTTTCTGGGCTCCTGGGTTGGACGGGTGGGCCGCGGCAAAGGACCTGGGCTTTATACGTTGCGTTCCCTTCATGTTTCCTTTGGCCGCGGCAATCCCGTTTACCTCCCTTCACGTTTCCGTTCTGGGCTCCCGGATTGGATGGGTGGGCCGCGGCAAAGGGATTGGGCTGCCAATTGGGTTTCCTTCCTGTTTCCTTTCTGGGCTCCTGGGTTGGACGGGCGGGCCGCAGCAGAGGGCCTGAGCTCCCGCTGGGTTCCCTTAATATTAATGTTTCCTTTTTGGGCGCCTGGTCTGCCACAAACGTCTACAGCAGAGGCCAGGTATCCGGTATCCTGTCTTGCGAGGCAGCAATGCTGTAACAGTTGTGTGTTTTTCCGTGCGTGGTTTCTGCTGCAGCAGGATCCTGTGGACGACGTTCTTCGTTCGGTTTGCGGAAAAGTTGTCAATGGTTCCGTGTAAGGAAAATATTTGTTTGCGATGTAAGCCGACTCCTTCGCTTTTCTTTTTGCCCTGTTTGTGCGGCAAAGTTGCCCGTCTTTCCCGTGCGACAGCCGACCGATCCGTATACCAACCCTTCGTGCTTCTTCCGCAATCATCTACAGCAAAAGTCAGGTATCCTGTTTTGCAAAGCAGCAATGTTGTAACAGTTAGTTGGTCGAATACGACGTTCCCTGTCCTTGTATAGGTAACATGTCTGACTGTGTAGCTTAATGTGCCAATGACATGATCTTTGGCTCAAGTAATGAGAAAAGAGGTACGCTTGCAGCATATGTTCCTCTTCGGGCTGGGCTTCCTTTTTGGGTTTCCTTGCCTTGCCCGGCGATCCTACCCCAACAACGCTGTTGTTGAGGGTCGGATTAACTCAGTTGCGGGAAAGTTGTGTGTGTGTGGTTTCTGCGGAAGTAAGATCCTGTGGACGAAGTTCTTCGTTCGGTCTGTGTGGAAAAATTCGTCGGTGGTTCCGTGTAAAGAACGATATTTATTTTGCCTTGTAAGCCGACACACCCCTGTGAGGTCTTCTTTTCGCCAAGTTTGCGCGGCAAAGTTCCCACTTTTCCCCGTGCGACAGCCAACCGATCCGTAAACCAGCCTATTTTGTGCTTCTTCCACAAAGGTCTACAGCAGAGGCCAGGTATCCGGTATCCTGTCTTGCAAGGCAGCAATGTTGTAACAGTTGCAGGAAGGTTGTGTGTTCTTGCGTGCGTGGTTTCTGCGGCAGCAAGATCCTGTGGACGACGTTCTTCGTTTTGCCGGCGGAAAAATCGTCAACGGTTTCGTGTAAAGAAAGAGTTTTGTTTGCGATGTAAGCCGACAAGCCCCTTTGCGTTTCTTTTTGCCAAGTTCGCGCGGCAAAGTTCCTACCTTTTCCCGTGTGGCAGCCAACCGATCTGTATACCAACTTGTTTTGCGCTTCTTCCACAGACGTCTACAGCAGAGGCCACATATCCTGTCTCGCAAAACGGCAATGTTGTGTGTGTTTTTTTCGTGCGTGGTTGCTGCGTCAGCAAGATCCTGTGGATCTTCGTTCGGTCTGCGGACAAAACCGTGAATGGTTCCGTGTAAAGAAAGATTTGTGTTTGCGATGTAAGCCGACAAGCCCCTTTGCATTTCTTTTTGTTAAGTTTGCGCGGCAAAGTTCCTACCTTTTTTTTGTGTGGCAGCCAACCGATCTGTATACCAACTTGTTTTGCGCTTCTTCCACAGACGTCTACAGCAGAGGCCACATATCCTGTCTCGCAAAAAACAGCAATGTTGGCGTGTTTTTTCCGCGCGTGGTTGCTGCGGCAGCAAGATCCTGTGGATCTTCGTTCGGTCTGCGGACAAAATCGTGAATGGTTCCGTGTAAAGGAAGACTTTTGTCTGCCTTGTAAGCCGACAAACCCATTTGCTCTTCTTTTCGCCGTAATTGCACCGCAAAGTTCACTTTTCTTCCCGTGCGACAGCCAACCGATCCGTATACCAATCTGTTTTGTGCTTCTCCACAAACGTTTACGGCAGAGGCCACATGTCCTGTCTTGTGTTTTTTCCGTGCGTGGTTTCTGCGGTAGCTGGATTCTATGGATCTTCGTTCGGTCTGCGGACAAAGTCGTGAATGGTTCCGTGTAAAGAAGGATTTTTGTTTTGTGTTGTAAGCCGACGCACCCCTGTGCGCGCTTCTTTTCGCCACAATTGCGCGGCAAAGTTCACACTTTTTTCCCGTGCGCCAGCCAACCGATCCTTTTAGCAACCTCTGTTCTGCTTCTTCCTCCAATGTCTACAGCGGAGGCAAGGAATCCTGTTTTGCAAAACGGTAATGTTATGCAAGTTGTGGAGAAGTAGCGTTTTTTCTTTGTGCGGTTCCTGCGGCAACAAAATCCTGTGGACAATGCTCTTCGTTCGGTCAGCAAAGAAAACGTGAATGGTTCCGTGTTAAAAGAGATTTTTGTTTGCCTTGTAAGCCGACAAATCCCTTCCTATCTTTCTTGCCAAACATGCGCGGCAAAGTTCTCGTTTTCTTCCCGTCCGACAGCCAACCGAAGCGAACACCAAGCTCTTTTGCACTTCGTCCGCGAACGTTTGCAGCAGAGGCCAGGTATCCTGTTTTGCAGCAGCGGCAACAATGTGGCAGTTGCGGGAGATATGTACATGTTTCCTGTGCATGGTGTTGCAGCAAGATCCTCTGAACGATGCTCCCTGGACCCTCCCAAAAATACAAAGTTTCCCAACTTTTCCTTTAGCACAAAACGCCTTCACAGGTTGATGTACATTTAGCACCCCTCCTCAGCTTATAGCTTCGCTATCAAGCTGTATTCTGACGCAACTGAAAAACATTCAGGCTCTACTGACCTGAATGCGAAATGCATCGTTCTGAAAATACACTTTACTCCCAACTCTGCTGGCCAGGAGTTTCATCGACCCATAGGAATACAGAAACTACACGGACGGAGAACATGAACTTCAAAGTTCTTCAGCTGTTTGCAACTGACACGATGATAGCATGTACCGAATTTCGCTATGGCAATCTTTGTGCTGGTATCCACTGGAAAAGCCGGCTCAAGGCGTTCAGTAGCTGGAGCTGAGGAGGAAGATGCTCTTTCGATGATCTTCTCTACTTCGGTCTTCTTCTCAATGATTTGAATAGCACCACTTGTCTTCTTGGGAAAAACATGCACGGCCAACGATCACCCCGACAAAGAATGAAAGCATAGACAATGTGAAGATAACGACAACGATAAAAACCGTCCAACTTTGAATGTCCTTCTCTACCATGAACATTTCAATCCACACTTGGAGCATCGAAAGCATGTCATGGATCCGCTGCAATGTTGCGCTTGTTGTGGGATCAGCATCATGGGCATGCGCACCCTCACTCTGAAGCATCACCATCAACACTCCAAGCATGGCTTTTCGCTGAGATTTCGTCACCTTGCCGATGTTGTGTGCATACTCTTGGCGCTGGAACTCTTGGGCACCTAGAATACCGTCACGAGAATGGTATCCCACAATCCCTAGAAGGAGGCGCAGCCGTTCAGCACCTAAAGGTTTGGTTCCAGCATCGGATGTGTTGAGACGCGTCGGGATCGGCTTCACTGAGAAGACACCATCCTTGCATTTGGACTGAGCCCAAAGAAGACGGCAATCAAGATGTCGTACTCGTGATGTTCCGGTCTTGTATAGAATCATTCTCGCTGACGCATTATCAACAAGGACGATCATGTTGCATTTGTTCTTGGTCATGGTTTCCACAATGCTCTTGATATACAATCCATCTGCACAGCCTGAAACAGCACTGATGAGCTCACTTTCGCAGCTCGAGAGCGCAATCGTGTCCTGCTTTCTCACAAAGCTGTGTACCAAAACAGAGTTGAGGTACATGTGGACTGAAGTATTGGACTTCCTATCAGCAACTGACCCTGCCCAATCACTATCGGTAAGTACTTCAAGGAGGTACTCACCGGGATGTACCGAATGGCAAGGGATTGGCTCTTCACGCTGATCTCGGATGCTTTTGCCGGGCGTTGTCCATTTCATCACCAAGTGGTAGTCAGACGTCGAAATCAAGTACTCAACAAGATACTTCACAAACTGCATGTCTCTCTGAGTAGGGTTTTGAACTTTTCGGGCAAGTACAGACACAGCAAACTGCACATCACACCGATCAGGAGCTAGATAAAGAAGGCACCCGACAACGGATCTGAAAAGCGCATGTTCCTCAGTGCCGAGGGCACTGCTGCAGTCCGGGGTGCACCATTCAGGAGTGCACGGCACCTTACGCATCCTGGGTCGGGTGATGCCTAAGAGCTTTGCCATCTTCTGCAAGTACTTGGGGTCGCTGTACATTGCAAGGCCTGCCTCCTCAATCACGAACAACCGCTTCAAGAATCGAATTTGCTCTCCTGGATCTCGAATTGGGCCCGTAATCGTCATCACATACTTCTCACCCAGCTTTCCGAGAATTTTGTTCCCCTCCTGAAGCCTACCTCCGAGAATTCCATCATCAACATGCAGTGCGCATGCTGCCTTTCCGTTACCGAAAGCCACGGGGCATGAAGGATTCTGCTCTAGCCCTGCACCCAATATATCGGCTGTGATCTGCTCAGACCACCAAGCACCTGCCTGCCTTTGACCCGGCAGGCACATCAAGACTTTGAAGTACTGACCATTCAATTTGACATATAGCAAAGACCGCTGAGGAACAGTAAGGAAAGCATCCTTAAAGTCGATGCTCCACAGGTGCCATTCTTCACTCTCGTACTTCGTGGCAAATAAGGCTGGCACTAGTTTTATCATGGCTGGGCACGTAGAGGGCGCGAAGACATCCATACGATGAGGATCCCAAACTTTTAGTTCTTTGGATACCAGTCTTGCCCGTCTGACCCAACCATCTCGAAAGCGCCAGTCATGCACATAGCGGGTGTTCAACACAAGTTCCGATGGAGGCTCTTCTTGAGTGGGTTCAAGGACCTTCATCTTTAAGAGCCTTTCTGCTTCAAACGCTTCAGCCTCGAGGTCAAGGGATTGCAGCTCCTCTTCAGAGCATTGTGGGGGTCCTTCATCCTCAGTCCTTTTTGCCCATCGTTCTCTGAGAACCTCCCCTCCCCCTTGGCCTCCAGCATCAAACCACCAGTCTTGGTGAACATCTAGATCGGCTTCGAAGTCTAGCATCTTTTCATCAAGGTCAAACAACTCCTCTCCTTCAACAACGATATGCTGAACCCTTTGCTTCAAACTGCGATCAACTTCTCCTGAGAGACCGGATGGGGCCAACAACGCTGCACTTGATGTACGCTTTGATCTAGCATCTGATGTTGAAACTTCCATGTCATCCTGCTTACGATGTTCAGGGGATTCAAGGACATGTGAAGCTGCAGCGGGTGCCCCAACATCAGGAGAACGCGTAGGACTCTCAGACCCAGTTGAGGACCCTGATGATGAAGCCTCACTGGAATTCTTCTCGGTTTCGGGATCACTCGCTGCTTCAACGTTGCCTGGGTCAATGGACTGGGGCTTTCGCTCGGCGCTTACTGCAGGCAATGCCGAAACTGGTACAGAAGCTTCTGATGGATCTTGCCGTGGAAGGCCTGGGACCAATCGACTACCAAGGACTGCGAGGCCATACTTCCAAGTTTTTCCTTTGAATGCTTTCAGGAGGTCCCCGGCCCACTGTTGCGATGGAGGTAGCCTTCGAATTGTGCTCGACAGGTAAACTCCCAGGCTGTTCCCGCAGACATACATGTTATTCTGGATGGTGCAGCCCAGGAACAACATCTTCACAAACTTAGGCTTTCCCTTCTTGGTATGCGCAGTGGACAGAGCGCACATCACCGTCTCCCCGAATCGAGCTAGCTTCATCTTAAACTGAACTCCAAAGCACTTCTCATATGGGGTACTTCCGCCCTGCACTCGGTAAGTATTATGAAGAAAAGCTCCGTGGACCAGAGCCCAGCCCACAATGTCCTGGCTTGCCGAAAAACTTTGACCAGCATGTTCACGCACTTGCTCAAGATGAACAACAGCCATATCCCTAAGGTTTTGAACTGCTTGTTCAACAACACCATTGCTTTCATGAACATATGGCTGAGATGGCCTTGGTCGTGTCGCCAATCCATGCCGAGCTCTGGCTTTGCAGACCATATCGGCCAATGACTGCATCACCGGTTCATTGTCATGCCGAAGCTGTACATCTGCATAGCTCAGGTAGCTGATGAAGGTTAGGACTTGTTTTGCGGCATAGACTTGGGAGTCATGCTTCTTGTTGGGCACCGGGATGGCTTGCATCATGCCTGTACTCCGATCTATGCACGCAAGCACGGTCAAGAATGGTTCTTTGTCTTCATCTTCTCCACCCCGATTCATGAACTCTAGATGTCGATCATTACCTTTCACATAGAACCAATCCATAGAGATCACTGGCAAGCTTCTCTCAGGAGCATCGCGAGAGGCCTGGCTTTGATGATGATCTCTTCTAGCACGTCCCGCAATACATGCAGGACACCATGCTTTGAATGGAATATGTGTTAGTTCATGTAGGGATCGTTCAGCTTCATTGGGCTCATACGGAATGGTCTGACCTTCACCGCTACGCTGATGAGGAAGAGCCGCATTCGAGAGCGCAAGCTGGTCCTCGAGTGCTCGTTGAGCCAACTTGTTCTTTAAACGCTTGAGAAGAACTTGCTTGGAACCGGACTGACCACAACCCAACATGCTGCAAGCCTGTCGCAAAGCGGAAGCAGACGAATCGGCATTCAAGTTAATCCCCTCGACGATTACCCCACTGTCACCTTCTAAGTCGGGACCAATACCAGGTAGAGGTGCAGGAGGAGCCTCCAATTTGTCCTCTGCAATGTCGGACAACTCCGCATCATCTGGCATTCCTGGTGGAGTTTCTGGGGCCATGGACTCTTCAAGGGCATCGGGGGAGTACTGGAACTCAGATTCAGTCTCGTGCTGCATTGATGTTGGACTGTCCGGTGTATCTAACATGACCTCAATCCCAAGCTGCGTAATCGAAGCACGATCTTTAGTCATGATGGTGATCACTTCCACCGGGACTGTGACTTCTGGTAGGGGAAGCTCCAGACTCTCCAGGGTCTCCAAACGCTCGTTGAATTCACACACCTTCCATTGGCCGTCAACTTTGATCACGGTGGTTCTAAACTTCCACAAACTCACAGACATCATACTCGTGGGATCAAGGTAAGAATGACCTGTGCCAAGATGAACTGGGAAGCCTTCAGGCTCGACAGGATGAGAACCACCTGTGCCAGGATGAACTGGGATGCCCTCAAGCTCGGAAAACTGCCAACCGCGACTCAAACTCAACGGGTCAAACTTCAACTGCACATCCAACATCCTGATACTGGGTCGAGCCTCAGTAGAGCTGTAGCCCTCAATGCCGTGGCTCGGACCTTGAGGCTGAACACTATGGATTGCTCTCACGTTCACTTGGATGTACGGTGTGTTCTTCTTGTAGTACACAGGGGTCCAGCAGTCTTCAAAGTTGAGCCACGATTGATCACCTTCATGCTCAATCTTCCACCCTTGTCGTAGCATCTTCCCGAATGCAAGCAGGGGTGTTCCTACCGAGGTCACCACGAACTGCTCTTTCAGGATTGCATCTCCTAGGTCCAATTCCAAGCATCTGATACCCTTATGTGGCATGTTGCCCCCTTGAGCGTCACGCAACTCCAAACTCACGGTGGAAGCTTCAGGAGAGCCTAAGGAAGCCCAATCAAATGGCATCACCGAGACATCCGCGCCACTGTCCAGCGCTATCTCATACATCTGTTGGTCCGAATGAGAGACCTGCTCCCAGGAATCACTGGAATATTCGTCCTCAATGCTTTCAAAGACGACCTGAACATTGCCACAACCGATGTTCCTGTCATCATCAAGAGTGAGATCAAAAGCTTCATGCTCAGGTCGAGGCGTACTCAAGAATGGATCACCAGCATCATGAATGGTGAAACACTGGAGCATATGAATGCTGGCACTTGAACTGTCGACGATGGCATCTGCGTTCTCAGTCAAACAGAAAACCCGCTTAACTTTGGCCTGTTGGTTCGCACCAGCGGTCGACGTAGAAGGGTTCGGTATCGAAGCGTGATTTGGGGAAAAGGCTTCGGATTCATTCACGGCCCGCACCTTATGCTGATTCATCCAACACTCGTTCTTCCAATGACCGTATTGTCCACAAAGCCGGCACTGGTTTTGCTGCGCTGCCCCTTGCCCCTTGCCCTTCGATTCCTTCCCCTTCCCTTTGCTCCATGGGCTCCACTGTTGTTGATGCTTTCCTCCATCCTTGCCCTTCTTTCCTTTGCCTTTCTCTTGCCCATACTGATGATTGTAATGTTGCTGGTATTGCTGCTGATGTTGGTGGTGTCCTTTTCCTTTTCCTTTGCCTTTGTCCTTGCCCTTTCCTTTTCCTTTGTCTCTTCCTTTGTCACCACCCTTCACCTGCCCAATCTGATCAACATCCATGGCATCGGAGTGCGCATTCCCACCAGAAACCAATGAAGACGACCATTTCTGAGTCCCACGCTCCCACTTCATGAGCATCTCACGCAATACACCATACGACGCATCTTCAGGCAAATTGACTGTCACATGACTCTTGACTTCGGGAGGAAGTGATCGAAGAAGCACTGCACTCACAAGTTGTTCATCTACTTCCTTACCTGAAGCTTGACGATATCGAACATGTAGCTCTTCAAATTTCAAAATCTGCTCCAGCAAACTTCCCGTGGTGAACGAAGGATACTGAGCAATGGCACCAAGAAGCGCTAAAGCTCTTGATTTTGATGTAGGAGACAATGTTCGCACAAGGAGCCGATAAGCTTCACCGCCATTTGAATCTGACACAGAGCGTACGATGTTGAGGGGTCTGCCCTTCGTCAAGGAAGCCAACAGCGCATATAAAGCTCTAGACTGCGAAACTGCAGATTCCGCCATGGTTGCATGATCCATGGGAACATCAGGTTCATGTTCGACTTCATCCATGATCTCAAGCATCTTTGGAGATACGGCTCCAACATACTGACGGAAAATCCACTGGAATTCAGGCCACAGTTGAAGTTCTTCATCCCGAGTTTTGGGTTTGAATGTTTCGGGCTTCGGGATGATCTTACTCCACAGCTGAGAGCTTTCAGGAGCCCGCTCAGCTAGTTGCTGCATCGTGTGATTGTGGGCCTGCAAAAGCTGGCCGATCGCATCAATTACTGGCGCAAAACTAGCTTGACTCGCTGCTGATGCACCTCCTGGAGACTGAGCAAACGGATTTGGTGCTTGAGGTTGAGGCTGCATCTGAGGTAGCTGGGGAGGCTGATCCATATCTCCCTCACGTAAACGACTTCACTGGCCCTCGCCGACAACGAACCGCCGCTGCTGCACAAGACTGGTAGTTCACAACGAGGCTCTGGCCGCCGTGAAAGCGTACTACACACACACACGCAAGGAGGAGAGAGTATGCCGCACAAGACGGGCTTCACTGCGGCTCAGGGGCACTACGGCGCTACACAACTGAACTCAGGGATCTGGGTCCTGTCCCTTGACTCTCCTTTTCGCCCCGGGACCAAAGTCTAGGGGACAGTAAGAAGGTCAACTGCACTAGTGGTGGATCTGGGTCCTGTCCACAAGCGAGAGCGCCGACACCAGGAGACACCCAAAGGAATCCCGGTCAGTAGCGCTCCGCTACCATACAAAGTTTCCCAACTTTTCCTTTAGCACAAAACGCCTTCACAGGTTGATGTACATTTAGCAAAAAACCTTCCCACATCTTTGAGTCCCACCACCCACTCTTCTTTCGCAGAAATATGTCGCCCAATGCCAAATTCTTCTTCGCAAAATCTGCGGACGAAGCCAGATTTGGATCCAACACATTCCAATTTGAACCGGTATGATTCGATGCATTCTGTTTGGGGTCTTCGCTGGTGTAATTTAGTGCGTGTTTGTTCTGTACGAGCCCCTCTATTCCGCCTGCCAGATGGCTGTTACTTGCCACGGCCAGGCTAACTGCCGCACGGGGTTGTTGGCTCGCCGCTTCGTGCAGCACCTAATCCGCGTCCGGTCGCCAAAAGCTCGGCCAGCTCTCCACCGCACGGCCGTGCAGCAGGCCGTCACCAACACGGCACTGGGGCAGATTTCGCCTTGCTCAACCCGTGTCAGAGGGATGAGCCGCCCCTCGAGCGAGTGCTCGAGCTCGCCGGACCACCAGCGAGCCCCAGTCGCTTGCCGCTGCGCTCGTAGCAGTTGGCGACGACATGCGCCGACCCTACGCAGCCGGAGGGCATGGTCCCCGTACTCGTCCACCTGCTGCCCGCAGCCGGGGCTGGGGCCGCAACGGTTGAGGTAAGCGCAAGCGGCGCCGCAACGCAAACTGCCAGTGCTGGTTCCCTCGGCACTGCCGATAGCCATGCACCAGCGTGTGCCCCGCCTTGTGAGCGTAGCAAGGCCCGGAAGGACGGCTGCAGAGCCGGCAGCCACACACGGTCGCAATAGTGAAGGTTTCGAGTCCGCGAACTGCCAGCCGTGAGGCCGTTCGCCCGGGTATGCATCGCAGGGTTGTTGCATGTTGTTGCGGCCGGGCGCCATCGTAGGCAGCGCGCCAGCTGGGGCACGCTTCCCAGCCTTCTGCTTGCAACAGGTTTTTCGTTGCTGCTGCTTCGCGTGCGCCATGCTCCAGAGCAACCAAACAACGATCAGCTGCGCCGGGCAAGCGAAACCAGATGACGGGGAGCGCGTCCATCCATGCTGCCCAGTACGCCGCTGGGGCCGTCCGCTCCGCGGACTGCAAGCCGAGTCCGCCGTAAACAGCTGGCAACGATGCGAGCGGCCAGGCCTACTGCACCTTGGCCGGTGGCACGCCCCCCAAACACTCTTAGAGTGTCTCCCAAACAGTCTGGTCGTGTGCCCGCGCGCACGACGCTGTTTCGGAAGGTTCGCAAGGCGTGGTTGGCGCGGGGCGAAGCGCAGAACAGCAGCAGCAACCAAGCACCGAGGTGCGCACAGCCAGCTAGCAAGTGGCGCTCCGTGCCTTTGAGTTTGAGCAGTGGGGCGTTGTACGCCCGAGCTAGCCACACGTTGAGGGTGGTCGGGCGTCTTCGGCTTACTGGCTCCCCAGACGCCGCGGCTTCGGCGCAATGCGGAAGAGACGTACCCAGTGGTGGACGGGACACTTCCCGAAAAAACCCACCAGCCCGGCAGAGGCGCGGCCTGCCAAGTTCTGGGTGACAGGCGTGTGCTCTCTTGGCGGCAGCCTAGCTGCACCGTGGATTTTCTTCGTAAGCGGGTAAACGACGGTGTCATCGAGCGCAAAAGGAGCTATGCCACAAAAGGAACTTGGCGACGACGACCTCGAGGCGCTTGTCGTTCATGTCGGCCCGGCACACGTGCCCTGCAACCCGCGCGCCATCCCCGCGACACTCACGGGCGGCGTGCTCGAGCTGGAGAGCACGGGTGGGCAGCACGCCAAAAGTAACGCACGCGGACCGGCGATCACCGAGCGGATCGAACAGCCCGCGGCAGCGGCAGTGATGAGGCGCATGTGGCAACAGAATGAAGCCCGGTGCCCTGCAGCCAAGCCGTGTCGGTTGCGCCTGGCTGCGCCGCTGGTAGGGTTTCTTGCGCAAATTGCACTTGCTGCCACGCTGCTTGGAGCACCCTACGTTGCCGGATGTTGCCGGCGCACTGTCTGGTGCCCAGCTCCCGCCGCTGGAAGACGTACTGCACGACGCACTCCGTCCGCCCTCCTCCTACCCCAAGCATCCCCTAGCCTCCTTCACCCATATCGTAGCGCGCAGGTTGCACGCGGACCCGGACTTCCGGTTTTGCTGACGTCACAAAGGCGAGTCGGAAAACAAAAATGCTTTGGGATCTCTGGGGAAATGCCAGAACATGTGTGCTTCAGCTTGGTGGGCCATACTGGCATTGTCGGTAGAAGAAGCAAGCACTGCCGTCGGGGCAGCTTGGCCAGCACCGCTGGACAGTTGCATTGTGCGCAAAGCAAAGGGCAGGAACCACTAGAAACCCAAGCCATGCAGGTGCAAGAAACCAGTATATACACGGTGCAAAGCATCATGCTGCCATTGCGAGAACCTGCAACCGCTGCAAGTCGCCGACGTAGATAAGAGCGGCAGCGTTCTGCAACCGGCCTTCTCGCCGCGCGAGCTGGCAGGCCGGTGCGAATGCGTGGTAAGGTTGTAATGTGGTGGCAGTTAGTGATAACGGATGCACGAGTTGCATCTTGCTAACCTTCCTCCTCCATCTCGTGCACTGCTGCTGTCGGAAGCTCGGCCCTTGCCTTTTCCCAGCCAATCGATCATTGTATTGCCCACGACCTACGATGAGGATGCATAGTCTGCGCATAATCGTTGTGGTCCGGGGAGCATCAGCTGGGGGTAAGTTGTGCGCTTTCGGTAACAGCGATGGCGGCCCCGTCGTGAGAGGCAGCAGAGGGTTGGAGCCTCCGCTCGCGAGTCAGACGGGACACGAGTGTGACATCACAACACAACGCCTCGCCCAGCGGCGTCGCCCTGTACACGACAAAGTCAACAGCATCCAAAAGCGCAATGCACGTTCCGGAAGCCATTGGTTCACCGAGTTCTGAAAATCACAACTAGTCCGAACCAAAACATGTCTTTCACTGAAAATTATCACCCGATGGTCTTGACGTAGGCACGCTGTCGACTGCAATGCAGCGCATTGCTCGTGGGAGCACCGCGGCTGGTCCGGCGACACATGGCGACGGCGGGTGGGGCTGCCTTGGACCATGTGTGGGCGCTCGCTGAGCCAGCCTCCCGCTGCGCTAAACGCGGGATATTTCATCATGATGGGCACAATTTTCAATCGCGAAAAGGTGCGGTTTCCACCCGCTAACTACAGCGAGATGCTGGTGTCGCCAACCGCATCCTTCGGCGATCACCTTGCAGCTTGCCCACGGTCTGGTGTGTTGCGCTCGCGTGCGGGCCCACTCGAGCGAGCGGCGGCCAGAGTTTGCCGGGAGGCGGGCGCCACTGTCGTGATGCATGCCCTTGTGGGTGATCTGAATGTGGTCCCTGTCCGCCAGGACGAGTGACGCATCGAAGTCATCGCGAACGGCCTGCCTTTGTGGGGCGGTGTGCAGCTTGCCGTTGACACCACATTGGTGTCGGCCCTCACTGAAGCTGGCGTGCCACGCCGAGACAGCGGCCGCACGGCTGGGGAGGATTTGCGTGTAGCTGAACGTGCCAAAGCTCGGACATACCCAGAGCTTACTTCCGGGCGCCGCTGTCGGCTTGTCGTCCTTGGCATTGAAGTCGGTGGAGGCTGGCGTCCCCATGCCGCTGCGTTTGTCACACTCTTCGCCCGCAGCAAGGCCCGTGTCGCTCCTCCTGCAGCGGGCGGCGTGCACCTCAGCGACGTCCTGGCTGACTCTTCCACGCAGCCCCCCCTTGCCAGCCGCATGCCCTAGTCTGTTTCCTGGACTTTCGGCATGTGCACTGGGACCGCGGAGTGGACGGACGTAAAAAAGGTGTGTAGGCAAAAATAAGTACGAAGCCTCGGGTAGGTTCCCGACGCTTATGTTTCGCGGCACAGTCCCGCCCAGCACCAGCGCAGGATTGCGCAGGCCCGGATCCCTGCCATGCCCAACAGGGGGTTCTGAGCGTCACGTCGGCGAAATCTCTTTTTTTTTGCGCTCCTTCTTGCTCCTGCAAGTCGACGTCCTGTTGAGTCCAAGCACGGACGCTGCCTGCGCTCTATGGCCGCAAAGGCAAGCGCCTCCGTCCCTCGAGGGCAGCGTGGTGGAGGATGCCGTCGAGGGGTGGGCCTGTTCCGGCCTCCTGTAGCCGTGCCAGCGACTGCCTGCTGCACAGCGACAGAAAGCATACTCCACCGACGCGCCCAGGCCACAGTGGCTGCCGCGCAGATGGCCGGCGGGGCGCGGTAGGCCTTATATGGCCTTATAAGGCGCACAAGATCCCGCACGAAGCGACGAGCCTGGGCGTCCCAGCGGCCGCCGATCTCCGAGCCGAGCACGACGAGCGTCTGCGGCCCACCCCGAATGAGCTCAGGGTATGCGGCGTGCTTGCGGCGCTCAACCACTCGCAATGCGGCTCCGTCGACAGCCGCGGCACACGGCTGCGATCGGCTGCGGGTGCCCCGAACGCGAGAGTGGGGACACCAGCGTGGTGTCGCCGCTGCTGAGTGCCCGAGGTCGAGCCGGCGACGGTCCTGCGCGCCAACATTCGGGGCAGTGGTGTGGGCCAGCCATGGCTGTGGAACGACTTGGCCTTCCGACCCCACCGCTTCCCGGGCAACCCGCACGCAGGCTCGCTCAACGAGCTTGGCCCACC